GTCTCATGGAACAGGTGTTCTATGAAGGATGGAGATGTGACGCATTTGACATTCATAGAACAGAATTCTGTATATGGGCTGAGGGATAAGTTGAGTCTCATGAACAGATTAACAGGTGTTCCTATGAAAGATTGGGATATGTTAGGCATTTGACTTTGACTTCATAGAACAGAATTCTGTATAGAAGGGGGGGCTGGCTCATAGGATAGTTGGGTCTCATGGAACATAGGTGTTTCTATGAAGGATGGAGATGTGACGCATTTGACATTCATAGAACAGGAATTCTGCATATGAAGGGCGGGGGATAAGCGGCATTTTGACTCTCATAGAACAGGTGTTTGCTATGAAAGATGTTCTGAAGGATATGTGACGCATTTGACATCTCATAGAACAGGAATTCTGTATAGAAGGGGTGGCGGAGTTGGGTCTCATGGAACAGGTGTTCTATGAAGGATGGGATATGTGGCATTTGACATTCATAGAACAGGATTCTGTATATGAAGGGCAGGGGATAAGGATGGAGATAGTTTGACTTCATAGAACAGGTAATTCTTCTATGAAGGGCATTGGGATATGAAGATTCGGCATTTTGACTCTCATAGAACAGGAATTCTGTATAGTGAGGGGTGGCGGATATTTGGGTCTCATGGAACAGGTGTTCTGTGAAGGATGAAGATGTGACGCATTTGACATTCATAGAACAGAATTCTGTATATATGAAGGGCGGGGGATAAGTTAGTCTCTCATAGAACAGGTGTTCTATGAAAAGATTGGGATATGTGGCATTTGACTCTCATAGAACAGAATTCTGTATAGAAGGGGTGGCGGATAGTTGGGTCTCATGGAACAGGTGTTCTATGAAGGATGGAGATGTGACATTTGACATTCCTTAGAACAGGAATTCTGTATATGAAGGGCAGGGGATAAGTTGAGTCTCATAGAACAGGTGTTCTATGAAGATTAGGATATGTGGCATTTGACTCTCATAGAACAGGAATTCTGTATAGAAGGGGTGGCGGATAGTTGGGTCTCATGGAACAGGTGTTCTATGAAGGATGGAGATGTGACGCATTTGACATTCATAGAACAGGAATTCTGTGTATATGAAGGGCGGGGGATAAGTTGAGTCTCATAGAACAGGTGTTCTATGAAAGATTAGGATATGTGGCATTTGACTCTCATAGAACAGGAATTCTGTATAGAAGGGGGGCGGATAGTTGGGTCTCATGGAACAGGTGTTCTATGAAGGATGGAGATGTGACGCATTTGACATTCATAGAACAGGAATTCTGTATATGAAGGGCAGGGGATAAGTTGAGTCTCATAGAACAGGTGTTCTATGAAAGATTGGATATGTGGCATTTGACTCTCATAGAACAGGAATTCTGTATAGAAGGGTGGCGGATGGTTGGGTCTCATGGAACAGGTGTTCTGCGAAGGATGGAGATGTGACGCATTTGACATTCATAGAACAGAATTCTGTATATGAAGGGCGGGGATAAGTTGAGTCTCATAGAACAGGTGTTCTATGAAATTAGGATATGCAGGACTCTCATAGGCTGTATTTGTTGGGTCTCATGGAACAGGTGTTCTATGAAGGATGGAATTCTGACATTCATAGAACAGGGGTGGCGGATAAGTTGGTCTCATGGAACAGGTGTTCTATGAAAGATTCTTTGACTGTCATGAAGGATGGAGATGTGACGGTCATGGAACCCAGGTTTCTGTGAAGGATGGAGATCGCATTTGACATTCATAGGGAATTCTGTATATGAAGGGCGGGGGATAAGTTGAGTCTCATAGAACAGAATTGTGTTCTATGAAGATTGGGGATATCGGCATTTGACTCTCATAGAACAGGAATTCTGTATAGAAGGGGTGGCGGATAGTTGGGTCTCATGGAACAGGTGTTCTATGAAGGATGGAGATGTGACGTATTTGACATTCATAGAACAGGAATTCTGTATATAAGGGCAGGGGGATAAGTTGAGTCTCATAGAACAGGTGTTCTATGAAAAGATTGGGATATGTGCATTTGACTCTCATAGAACAGAATTTCTGTATAGAAGGGGATATGCGGATAGTTGGGTCTCATGAACAGGTGTTCTATGAAGGATGGAGATGTGACGCATTTGACATTCATAGAACAGGAATTCTGTATATGAAGGGCGGGGATAAGTTGAGTCTCATAGAACAGGTGTTCTATGAATGATTGGGATATGTGGCATTTGACTCTCATAGAACAGGAATTCTGTATAGAAGGGGTGGCGGATAGTTGGGTCTCATGGAACAGGTGTTCTATGAAGGATGGAGATGTGACGCATTTGACATTCATAGAACAGAATTCTGTATATGAAGGGCGGGGATAAGTTGAGTCTCATAGAACAGGTGTTCTATGAAAGATTGGGATATGCGGCATTTGACTCTCATAGAACAGGAATTCTGTATAGAAGGGGTGGCGGATAGTTGGGTCTCATGGAACAGGTGTTCTATGAAGGATGGAGATGTGACGTTTGACATTCATAGAACAGGAATTCTGTATATGAAGGGCGGGGATAAGTTGAGTCTCCAGAACAGGTGTTCTATGAAGATTGGGATATGCGGCATTTGACTCTCATAGAACAGGAATTCTGTATAGAAGGTGTGGCGGATAGTTGGGTCTCATGGAACAGGTGTTCTATGAAGGATGGAGATGTGACGCATTTGACATTCATAGAACAGAATTCTGTATATGAAGGGCAGGGTTAAGTTGAGTCTCATAGAACAGGTGTTCTATGAATGATTGGGATATATGTGCATTTGACTCTCATAGAACAGGAATTCTGTATAGAAGGGTGGCGGATAGTTGGGTCTCATGGAATTAGGTGTTCTATGAAGGATGAGATGTGACGCATTTGACATTTCATAGAACAGGAATTCTGTATATGAAGGGCGGGGGGATAAGTTGGGTCTCATAGAACAGGTGTTCTATGAAGATTGGGATATGCGGCATTTGACTCTCATAGAACAGGAATTCTGTATAGAAGGGGTGGCGGATAGTTTGGGTCTCATGGAACAGGTGTTCTATGAAGGATGGAGATGTGACGATTTGACATTCATAGAACAGGAATTCTGTATATGAAGGGCGGGGGATAAGTTGAGTCTCATAGAACAGGTGTTCTATGAAAGATTGGGATATGCGGCATTTTGACTCTCATAGAACAGGAATTCTGTATAGAAGGGGGTGGCGGATAGTTGGGTCTCATGGAACAGGTGTTCTATGAAGGATGGAGATGTGACGCATTTGACATTCATAGAACAGGGAATTCTGTATATGAAGGGGGGGGGGATAAGTTGAGTCTCATAGAACAGGTGTTCTATTCCATAGAACAGATTGGGATATGCTCATGGCATTTGACTCTCATAGAACAGGAATTCTGTATAGAAGGGGTGGCGGATAGTTGGGTCTCATGGAACAGGTGTTCTGTGAAGGATGGAGATGTGACGCATTTGACATTCATAGAACAGGAATTCTGTATATGAAAGGGCGGGGGATAAGTTGAGTCTCATAGAACAGGTGTTCTATGAAAGATTGGGATATGTGGCATTTTGACTCTCATAGAACAGGAATTCTGTATATAGAAGGGGTGGCGGATAGTTGGGTCTCATGGAACAGGTGTTCTGTGAAGGATGGAGATGTGACGCATTTGACATTCATAGAACAGAATTCTGTATATGAAGGGCGGGGGGATAAGTTGAGTCTCATAGAACAGGTGTTCTATGAAGATTGGGATATGTGGCATTTGACTCTCATAGAACCAGGAATTCTGCTGTATAGAAGGGGTGGCGGATAGTTGGGTCTCATGGAACAGGTGTTCTATGAAGGATGGAGATGTGACGCATTTGACATTCATAGAACAGAATTCTGTATATGAAGGGACGGGGGATAAGTTGAGTCTCATAGAACAGGTGTTCTATGAAAGATTGGGATATGCGGCATTTGACTCTCATAGAACAGAATTCTGTATAGAAAGGGGGTGGCGGATGGTTGGGTCTCATGGGAACAGGTGTTCTATGAAGGGATGGAGATGTGACGCATTTGACATTCATAGAACAGGAATTCTGTATATGAAGGGCGGGGGATAAGTTGAGTCTCATAGAACAGGTGTTCTATGAAGATTGGGATATGCGGCATTTGACTCTCATAGAACAGGAATTCTGTATAGAAGGGGGTGGCGGATAGTTGGGTCTCATGGAACAGGTGTTCTATGAAGGATGGAGATGTGACGCATTTGACATTCATAGAACAGGAATTCTGTATATGAAGGGCGGGGGATAAGTTGAGTCTCATAGAACAGGTGTTCTATGAAAGATTGGATATGTGGCATTTGACTCTCATAGAACAGGAATTCTGTATAGAAGGGGAGGCGGATATTTGGGTCTCATGGAACAGGTGTTCTATGAAAGATGGAGATGTGACGCATTTGACATTCATAGAACAGAATTCTGTATATGAAGGGCGGGGATAAGTTGAGTCTCATAGAACAGGTGTTCTATGAAAGATTGGGATATGTGGCATTTGACTCTCATAGAACAGGAATTCTGTATAGAAGAAGGGGTGGCGGATAGTTGGGTCTCATGGAACAGGTGTTCTATGAAGGATGGAGATGTGACGCATTTGACATTCATAGAACAGGAATTCTGTATATGAAGGGCGGGGATAAGTTGAGTCTCATAGAACAGGTGTTCTATGAAGATTGAGATATGCAGCATTTGACTCTCCATAGAACAGAATTCTGTATAGAAGGGGTGGCGGATAGTTGGGTCTCATGGAACAGGTGTTCTATGAAGGATGGAGATGTGACGCATTTGACATTCATAGAACAGGAATTCTGTATATGAAGGGCAGGGGATAAGTTGAGTCTCATAGAACAGGTGTTCTATGAAAGATTGGGATATGTGGCATTTGACTCTCATAGAACAGGAATTCTGTATAGAAGGGGGTGGCGGATAGTTGGGTCTCATGGAACAGGTGTTCTATGAAGGATGGAGATGTGACGCATTTGACATTCATAGAACAGAATTCTGTATATGAAGGGCGGGGGGATAAGTTGAGTCTCATAGAACAGGTGTTCTATGAAAGATTGGGATATGCGGCATTTGACTCTCATAGAACAGGAATTCTGTATAGAAGGGGTAGCGGATAGTTGGGTCTCAAGGAACAGGTGTTCTGTGAAGGATGGAGATGTGACGCATTTGACATTCATAGAACAGGAATTCTGTATATGAAGGGCGGGGCTAAGTTGAGTCTCATAGAACAGGTGTTCTATGAAAGATTAGGATATGCGGCATTTGACTCTCATAGAACAGGAATTCTGTATAGAAGGGGTGGCGGATAGTTGGGTCTCATGGAACAGGTGTTCTGTGAAGGATGGAGATGTGACGCATTTGACATTCATAGAACAGAATTCTGTATATGAAGGGCAGGGGGATAAGTTGAAAGTCTCATAGAACAGGTGTTCTATGAAAGATTGGGATATGACATTAAGCTGTATTTGACTCTCATAGAACAGAATTCTGTATAGAAGGGGGTGGCGGATAGTTGGGTCTCATGGAACAGGTGTTCTATGAAGGATGGAGATGTGACGCATTTGACATTCATAGAACAGGAATTCTGTATATGAAGGGCAGGGGATAAGATTCATAGAACAGTCTCATTTTGACTCTCATAGAACTGTATAGGTGTTTGGGTCTCATGGAACAGGTGTTCTATGAAGGATGGAATGTGACGCATTTGACATTCATAGAACAGAATTCTGTATATGAAGGGCATAAGTTGAGTCTCATAGAACAGGTGTTCTATGAAAGATTGAGATATGTATAGAACAGGAATTCTGTATATGAAGGTGGCGGATGGTTGGGTCTCATGGAACAGGTGTTCTATGAAGGATGGAGATGTGACATTTGACATTCATAGAACAGAATTCTGTATATGAAGGGCGGGGGATAAGTTGAGTCTCATAGAACAGGTGTTCTATGAAAGATTGAGATATGTTGGCATTTGACTCTCATAGAACAGGAATTCTGTATAGAAAGGGGTGGCGGATAGTTGGGTCTCATGGAACAGGTGTTCTATGAAGGATGGAGATGTGACGCATTTGACATTCATAGAACAGGAATTCTGTATATGAAGGGCGGGGGATAAGTTGAGTCTCATAGAACAGGTGTTCTATGAAAGATTGGGATATGCGGCATTTGACTCTCATAGAACAGGAATTCTGTATAGAAGGGTGGCGGATAGTTGGGTCTCATGGAACAGGTGTTCTATGAAGGATGGAGATGTGACGCATTTGACATTCATAGAACAGAATTCTGTATATGAAGGGCGGGGGATAAGTTGAGTCTCATAGAACAGGTGTTCTATGAAAGATTGGGATATGCATTTGACTCTCATAGAACAGGAATTCTGTATAGAAGGGGTGGCGGATAGTTGGGTCTCATGGAACAGGTGTTCTATGAAGGATGGAGATGTGACGCATTTGACATTCATAGAACAGGAATTCTGTATATGAAGGGCGGGGGATAAGTTGAGTCTCATAGAACAGGTGTTCTATGAAAGATTGGATATGTGGCATTTGACTCTCATAGAACAGGAATTCTGTATAGAAGGGGTGGCGGATAGTTGGGTCTCATGGAACAGGTGTTCTATGAAGGATGGAGATGTGACGCATTTGACATTCATAGAACAGGAATTCTGTATATGAAGGGCGGGGGATAAGTTGAGTCTCATAGAACAGGTGTTCTATGAAAGATTGGGATATGCGGCATTTGACTCTCATAGAACAGGAATTCTGTATAGAAGGGGTGGCGGATAGTTGGGTCTCATGGAACAGGTGTTCTATGAAGGATGGAGATGTTCATAGAACGCATTTGATATGAAGGGCATTCATAGAACAGAAAAGATTGGGATTTCTGTATATGAACGGAACAGGGATAAGTTGACGCATTTGTTCTCATTCTGTATATATGAACAGGTGTTCTCATATGAAAGATTGGATATGCGGCATTTGACTCTCATAGAACAGGAATTCTGTATAGAAAGGGTGGCGGATAGTTGGGTCTCATGGAACAGGTGTTCTGTGAAGGATGGAGATGTGACGCATTTGACATTCATAGAACAGAATTCTGTATATGAAGGGCAGGGGATAAGTTGAGTCTCATAGAACAGGTGTTCTATGAAAGATTAGGATATGTGGCATTTGACTCTCATAGAACAGAATTCTGTATAGAAGGGGGTGGCGGATAGTTGGGTCTCATGGAACAGGTGTTCTATGAAGGATGGAGATGTGACGCATTTGACATTCATAGAACAGGAATTCTGTATATGAAGGGCAGGGGATAAGTTGGGTCTCATAGAACAGGTGTTCTGAAGATTGGGATATGTGGCATTTGACTCTCATAGAACAGGAATTCTGTATAGAAGGGGTGGCAGATAGTTGGGTCTCATGGAACAGGTGTTCTATATGAAGGATGGAGATGTGACATTTGACATTCATAGAACAGTTCTGTATATGAAGGGCAGGGGATAAGATCTCATAGAACAGGTGTTCTATGAAGATTGGGATATGTGGCATTTGACTCTCATAGAACAGGAATTCTGTATAGAGGGGGGGCCGGATAGTTGGGTCTCATGGAACAGGTGTTCTATGAAGGATGGAGATGTGACGCATTTGACATTCATAGAACAGAATTCTGTATATATGAAGGGCGGGGGGATAAGTTAGTCTCATAGAACAGGTGTTCTATGAAAGATTGGGATATGCGGCATTTGACTCTCATAGAACAGGAATTCTGTATAGAAGGGGTGGCGGATAGTTGGGTCTCATGGAACAGGTGTTCTGTGAAGGATGGAGATGTGACGCATTTGACATTCATAGAACAGGAATTCTGTATATGAAGGGCGTGGGGGATAAGTTGAGTCTCATAGAACAGGTGTTCTATGAAAGATTGGGATATGTGGCATTTGACTCTCATAGAACAGGAATTCTGTATAGAAGGGGTGGCGGATAGTTGGGTCTCATGGAACATAGAAGGGGTTCTGTGAAGGATGGAGATGTGACGCATTTGACATTCATAGAACAGAATTCTGTATATATGAAGGGCAGGGGATAAGTTGAGTCTCATAGAACAGGTGTTCTATGAAAGATTGGGATATGTGGCATTTGACTCTCATAGAACAGGAATTCTGTATAGAAGGGGTGGCGGATAGTTGGGTCTCATGGAACAGGTGTTCTATGAAGGATGGAGATGTGACGCATTTGACATTCATAGAACAGAATTCTGTATATGAAGGGCGGGGATAAGTTGAGTCTCATAGAACAGGTGTTCTATGAAAGATTGGGATATGCGGCATTTGACTCTCATAGAACAGAATTCTGTATAGAAGGGGTGGCGGATAGTTGGGTCTCATGGAACAGGTGTTCTGTGAAGGATGGAGATGTGACGCATTTGACATTCATAGAACAGGATTCTGTATATGAAGGGCAGGGGGATAAGTTGAGTCTCATAGAACAGGTGTTCTATGAAAAGATTGGGATATGCATTTGGGTCTCATGGAACTCTCATAGAACAGGAATTCTGTATATGAACGATAAGGGGGTGTTCTATGAAAGATGGTTGGGTCTCATGGAACAGGTGTTCTATGAAGGATGGAGAACAGGTGTGACGGATGGAGATGTGACATTTGACATTCATAGAACAGGAATTCTGTATATGAAGGGCGGGGATAAGTTGAGTCTCATAGAACAGGTGTTCTATGAAAGATTGGGATATGCGGCATTTGACTCTCATAGAACAGAATTCTGTATAGAAGGGGTGGCGGATAGTTGGGTCTCATGGAACAGGTGTTCTGTGAAGGATGGAGATGTGACGCATTTGACATTCATAGAACAGGAATTCTGTATATGAAGGGCGGGGGATAAGTTGAGTCTCATAGAACAGGTGTTCTATGAAAGATTGGGATATGTGGCATTTGACTCTCATAGAACAGGAATTCTGTATAGAAGGGGTGGCGGATAGTTGGGTCTCATGGAACAGGTGTTCTATGAAGGATGGAGATGTGACGCATTTTGACATTCATAGAACAGAATTCTGTATATGAACAGGCTGGGGGGATAAGTTGAGTCTCATAGAACAGGTGTTCTATGAAAGATTAGGATATGCGGCATTTGACTCTCATAGAACAGGAATTCTGTATAGAAGGGGTGGCGGATAGTTGGGTCTCATGGAACAGGTGTTCTGTGAAGGATGGAGATGTGACGCATTTGACATTCATAGAACAGGAATTCTGTATATGGAACCCCAGCTCGGGGTGTTCTATAAAAGATTGGGTCTCATCATAGAACAGGTGTTCTATGAAAGGTTTCTATGAAGGATATGTGGCATTTGACTCTCATAGAACAGGAATTCTGTATAAGACAGGGTGGCGGATAGTTGGGTCTCATGGAACAGGTGTTCTATGAAGGATGGAGATGTGACGCATTTGACATTCATAGAACAGGAATTCTGTATATGAAGGGCGGGGGATAAGTTGAGTCTCATAGAACAGGTGTTCTATGAAAGATTGAGAATTGGACATATGTGGCATTTGACTCTCATAGAACAGGAATTCTGTATATAGAACAGGGGTGGCGGATAGTTGGGTCTCATGGAACAGGTGTTCTATGAAAGATGGAGATGTGACGAACATTTGACATTCATAGAACAGGTGTTCTGTGAATTCTGACATATGAAGGGCGGGGGATAAGTTGAGTCTCATAGAACAGGTGTTCTATGAAAGATTGGGATATGCGGCATTTGACTCTCATAGAACAGAATTCTGTATAGAAGGGTGGCGGATAGTTGGGTCTCATGGAACAGGTGTTCTGTGAAGGATGGAGATGTGACGCATTTGACATTCATAGAACAGGAATTCTGTATATGAAGGGCGGGGGATAAGTTGAGTCTCATAGAACAGGTGTTCTATGAAAGATTGGGATATGCGGCATTTGACTCTCATAGAACAGGAATTCTGTATAGAAGGGGTGGCGGATAGTTGGGTCTCATGGAACAGGTGTTCTATGAAGGATGGAGATGTGACGCATTTGACATTCATAGAACAGGAATTCTGTATATGAAGGGCGGGGATAAGTTGAGTCTCATAGAACAGGTGTTCTATGAAGATTGGGGATATGCGGCATTTGACTCTCATAGAACAGGAATTCTGTATAGAAGGGGTGGCGGATAAGTTGGGTCTCATGTTGGGATGGAGATCTTTTGACATTCATAGAACAGGATATGAAGGGCGGGGATAAGTTGAGTCTCATAGAACAGGTGTTCTATGAAAGATTGAAGGATAGAAGGGGTGGCGGATAGTTGGGTCTCATGGAACAGGTGTTCTTGGAGATGACATTCATAGAACAGGAATTCTGTATATGAAGGGCGGGGGATAAGTTGAGTCTCATAGAACAGGTGTTCTATGAAAGATTGGGATATGTGGCATTTGACTCTCATAGAACAGGAATTCTGTATAGAAGGGGGTGGCGGATAGTTGGGTCTCATGGAACAGGTGTTCTATGAAGGATGGAGATGTGACGCATTTGACATTCATAGAACAGGAATTCTGTATATGAAGGGCGGGGATAAGTTGAGTCTCATAGAACAGGTGTTCTATGAAAGATTGGGATATGTGGCATTTGACTCTCATAGAACAGGAATTCTGTATAGAAGGGTGGCGGATAGTTGGGTCTCATGGAACAGGTGTTCTATGAAGGATGGAGATGTGACGCATTTGACATTCATAGAACAGAATTCTGTATATGAACGGCGGGGGATAAGTTGAGTCTCATAGAACAGGTGTTCTATGAAAGATTGGGATATGCGGCATTTGACTCTCATAGAACAGGAATTCTGTATAGAAGGGGTGGCGGATAGTTGGGTCTCTCATGGAACAGGTGTTCTATGAAGGATGGAGATGTGACGCATTTGACATTCATAGAACAGGAATTCTGTATATGAAGGGCAGGGGATAAGTTGAGTCTCATAGAACAGGTGTTCTATGAAAGATTGGGATATGCGGCATTTGACTCTCATAGAACAGGAATTCTGTATAGAAGGGTGGCGGATAGTTGGGTCTCATGGAACAGGTGTTCTATGAAGGATGGAGATGTGACGCATTTGACATTCATAGAACAGGAATTCTGTATATGAAGGGCAGGGATAAGTTGAGTCTCATAGAACAGGTGTTCTATGAAAGATTGGGATATGTGGCATTTGACTCTCATAGAACAGGAATTCTGTATAGAAGGGGTGGCGGATAGTTGGGTCTCATGGAACAGGTGTTCTATGAAGGATGGAGATGTGACGCATTTGACATTCATAGAACAGGAATTCTGTATATGAGGGCGGGGGATAAGTTGAGTCTCATAGAACAGGTGTTCTATGAAAGATTGGGATATGGGCATTTGGAACAGGGTATAAAGGGAGATGGAGATAGTTGGGTCTCATGGAACAGGTGTTCTATGAAAAGATTGGGATATGCGGGATGGAGAATTCTGTATGACGCATTTGACATTCATAGAACAGAATTCTGTATATGAAGGGGTTGGCGGATAAGTTGGGTCTCAGGTGTTCTATGGAAGAGGTATGCGGTTTGACTCTCATGAAGGATGGAGATGTGTGGGTCTCATTTGGACATTCATAGAACAGAATTCTGTGACATTCATAGAAGGGCGGGGGATAAGTTGAGTCTCATAGAACAGGTGTTCTATGAAAGATTGGGATATGCGGCATTTGACTCTCATAGAACAGGAATTCTGTATAGAAAGGGGTGGCGGATAGTTGGGTCTCATGGAACAGGTGTTCTATGAAGGATGGAGATGTGACGCATTTGACATTCATAGAACAGGAATTCTGTATATGAAGGGCGGGGGATAAGTTGAGTCTCATAGAACAGGTGTTCTATGAAAGATTGGGATATGTGGCATTTTGACTCTCATAGAACAGGAATTCTGTATAGAAAGGGGTGGCGGATAGTTGGGTCTCATGGAACAGGTGTTCTATGAAGGATGGAGATGTGACGCATTTGACATTCATAGAACAGGGAATTCTGTATATGAAGGGCGGGGGATAAGTTGAGTCTCATAGAACAGGTGTTCTATGAAAGATTGATATGTGGTATTTGACCTCATAGAACAGGAATTTGCAAGGGTTGAGTCTCATAGAACAGGTGTTCTATGAACAGGTGTTCTATGAAGATATGATATGACGCATTTGACATTCATAGAACAGGAATTCTGTATATGAACAGGGGATATTCTCATAGAACAGGTGTTCTATAGAAAGATTGGGATATGGGCATTTGACTCTCATAGAACAGGAATTCTGTATAGAAGGGGTGGCGGATAGTTGTCTCATGGAACAGGTGTTCTATGAAGGATGGAGATGTGACGCATTTGACATTCATAGAACAGGAATTCTGTATATGAAGGGCGGGGATAAGTTGAGTCTCATAGAACAGGTGTTCTATGAAAGATTGGGATATGCGGCATTTGACTCTCATAGAACAGGAATTCTGTATAGAAGGGTGGCGGATAGTTGGGTCTCATGGAACAGGTGTTCTATGAAGGATGGAGATGTGACGCATTTGACATTCATAGAACAGGAATTCTGTATATGAAGGGCGGGGGATAAGTTGAGTCTCATAGAACAGGTGTTCTATGAAAGATTGGATATGCGGCATTTGACTCTCATAGAACAGAATTCTGTATAGAAGGGGTGGCGGATAGTTGGGTCTCATGGAACAGGTGTTCTATGAAGGATGGAGATGTGACGTATTTGACATTCATAGAACAGGAATTCTGTATATGAAGGGCGGGGATAAGTTGAGTCTCATAGAACAGGTGTTCTATGAAAGATTGGGATATGCGGCATTTGACTCTCATAGAACAGGAATTCTGTATAGAAGGGGTGGCGGATAGTTGGGTCTCATGGAACAGGTGTTCTATGAAGGATGGAGATGTGAAGGGCATTTGACATTGTTCATAGAACAGGAATTCTGTATATGAAGGGCTCATGGGGATAAGGATGGAGTCTCATAGAACAGGTGTTCTATGAAAGATTGGGATATGCGGCATTTGACTCTCATAGAACAGGAATTCTGTATAGAAGGGGTGGCGGATAGTTGGGTCTCATGGAACAGGTGTTCTATGAAGGATGGAGATGTGACGCATTTGACATTCATAGAACAGGAATTCTGTATATGAAGGGCGGGGGATAAGTTGAGTCTCATAGAACAGGTGTTCTATGAAAGATTAGAGATATGCGGCATTTGACTCTCATAGAACAGGAATTCTGTATAGAAGGGGTGGCGGATAGTTGGGTCTCATGGAACAGGTGTTCTATGAAGGATGGAGATGTGACGCATTTGGACATTCATAGAACAGGAATTCTGTATATGAAGGGCGGGGATAAGTTGAGTCTCATAGAACAGGTGTTCTATGAAAGATTGGGATATGTGGCATTTGACTCTCATAGAACAGGAATTCTGTATAGAAGGGGTGGCGGATAGTTGGGTCTCATGGAACAGGTGTTCTATGAAGGATGGAGATGTGACGCATTTGACATTCATAGAACAGGAATTCTGTATATGAAGGGCAGGGGGGATAAGTTGAGTCTCATAGAACAGGTGTTCTATGAAAGATTGGGATATGTGGCATTTGACTCTCATAGAACAGGAATTCTGTATAGAAGAAGGGGTGGCGGATAGTTGGGTCTCATGGAACAGGTGTTCTATGAAGGATGGAGATGTGACGCATTTGACATTCATAGAACAGGAATTCTGTATATGAAGGGCGGGGATAAGTTGAGTCTCATAGAACAGGTGTTCTATGAAAGATTGGGATATGCGGCATTTGACTCTCATAGAACAGGAATTCTGTATAGAAGGGGTGGCGGATAGTTGGGTCTCATGGAACAGGTGTTCTATGAAGGATGGAGATGTGACGCATTTGACATTCATAGAACAGGAATTCTGTATATGAAGGGCAGGGGATAAGTTGAGTCTCATAGAACAGGTGTTCTATGAAAGATTGGGGATATTTGTGAACATTTGACTCTCATAGAACAGGAATTCTGTATAGAAGGGGGTGGCGGATAGTTGGGTCTCATGGAACAGGTGTTCTATGAAGGATGGAGATGTGACGCATTTGACATTCATAGAACAGGAATTCTGTATATGAAGGGCGGGGGATAAGTTGAGTCTCATAGAACAGGTGTTCTATGAAAGATTGGGATATGTGGCATTTGACTCTCATAGAACAGGAATTCTGTATAGAAGGGGTGGCGGATAGTTGGGTCTCATGGAACAGGTGTTCTATGAAGGATGGAGATGTGACGCATTTGACATTCATAGAACAGGAATTCTGTATATGAAGGGCGGGGGGATAAGTTGAGTCTCATAGAACAGGTGTTCTATGAAAGATTGGGATATGTGGCATTTGACTCTCATAGAACAGGAATTCTGTATAGAAGGGGTGGCGGATAGTTGGGTCTCATGGAACAGGTGTTCTATGAAGGATGGAGATGTGACGCATTTGACATTCATAGAACAGGAATTCTGTATATGAAGGGCGGGGGTTAAGTTGAGTCTCATAGAACAGGTGTTCTATGAAAGATTGGATATATGTGGCATTTGACTCTCATAGAACAGGAATTCTGTATAGAAGGGGTGGCGGATAGTTGGGTCTCATGGAACAGGTGTTCTATGAAGGATGGAGATGTGACGCATTTGACATTCATAGAACAGGAATTCTGTATATGAAGGGCGGGGATAAGTTGAGTCTCATAGAACAGGTGTTCTATGAAAGATTGGGATATGTGGCATTTGACATTCATAGAACAGGAATTCTGTATAGAAGGGGTGGCGGATAAAGTTGGGTCTCATGGAACAGGTGTTCTATGAAGGATGGAGATGGAGATGACGCATTTGACATTCATAGAACAGAATTCTGTATATGAAGGGCAGGGGATAAGTTGAGTCTCATAGAACAGGTGTTCTATGAAAGATTGGGATATGTGGCATTTGACTCTCATAGAACAGGAATTCTGTATAGAAGGGGTGGCGGATAGTTGGGTCTCATGGAACAGGTGTTCTATGAAGGATGGAGATGTGACGCATTTGACATTCATAGAACAGGAATTCTGTATATGAAGGGCGGGGATAAGTTGAGTCTCATAGAACAGGTGTTCTATGAAAGGGGATAATTTGTTGGAATTCTGTCTCTCATGGAACAGGTGTTCTATGAAGGATGGAGATTGACGGACATTCATGAACAGGAATTCTCTATATGAAGGGCGGGGGATAAGTTGAGTCTCATCAGGTGTTCTAGAAAAGATTGGGATATGCATTTGACTCTCATAGAATTCTGTATAGAAGGGTGGCGGATAGTTGGGTCTCATGGAACAGGTGTTCTATGAAGGATGGAGATGTGACGCATTTGACATTCATAGAACAGGAATTCTGTATATGAAGGGCGGGGGATAAGTTGAGTCTCATAGAACAGGTGTTCTATGAAAGATTGGGATATGTGGCATTTGACTCTCATAGAACAGGAATTCTGTATAGAAGGGGTGGCGGATAGTTGGGTCTCATGGAACAGGTGTTCTATGAAGGATGGAGATGGGGATGACGCATTTGACATTCATAGAACAGGAATTCTGTATATGAAGGGCGAAGGGGATAAGTTGAGTCTCATAGAACAGGTGTTCTATGAAAGATTGGGATATGTGGCATTTGACTCTCATAGAACAGGAATTCTGTATAGAAGGGGTGGCGGATAGTTGGGTCTCATGGAACAGGTGTTCTATGAAGGATGGAGATGTGACGCATTTGACATTCATAGAACAGGAATTCTGTATATGAAGGGCGGGGGGATAAGTTGAACAGGTGTCTATGAAAGAACATTTGTGAACAGGAATTCTGTATGAAAGGCGGATAGTTGGGTTCATGGGGACAGGTAAGGATGGAGATGTGACGCATTTGACATTCATAGAACAGAAATTCTGTATATGAATGTTCTGTTGGGATAGAAGGAACAGGAATTCTGTATAGAAGGGGTGGCGGATAGTTGGGTCTCATGGAACAGGTGTTCTATGAAGGATGGAGATGTGACGCATTTGACATTCATAGAACAGAATTCTGTATATGAAGGGCGGGGATAAGTTGAGTCTCATAGAACAGGTGTTCTATGAAAGATTGGGATATGTGGCATTTGACTCTCATAGAACAGGAATTCTGTATAGAAGGGGGTGGCGGATAGTTGGGTCTCATGGAACAGGTGTTCTATGAAGGATGGAGATGTGACGCATTTGACATTCATAGAACAGAATTCTGTATATGAAGGGCGGGGGATAAGTTGAGTCTCATAGAACAGGTGTTCTATGAAAGATTGGGATATGTGGCATTTGACTCTCATAGAACAGGAATTCTGTATAGAAGGGGTGGCGGATAGTTGGGTCTCATGGAACAGGTGTTCTATGAAGGATGGAGATGTGACGCATTTGACATTCATAGAACAGGAATTCTGTATATGAAGGGCGGGGGATAAGTTGAGTCTCATAGAACAGGTGTTCTATGAAAGATTGGGATATGTGGCATTTGACTCTCATAGAACAGGAATTCTGTATAGAGAAGGGTGGCGGATAGTTGGGTCTCATGGAACAGGTGTTCTATGAAGGATGGAGATGTGACGCATTTGACATTCATAGAACAGGAATTCTGTATATGAAGGGCGGGGGATAAGTTGAGTCTCATTCTATGAAAGATTGGGATATGTGGAATTTGACTCTCATAGAACAGGAATTCTGTATAGAAGGGGTATATTGGAAACAGGTGTTCTATGAAGGATGGATAGTTCATAGAACAGGAATTCTGTATATGAAGGGCATAAGAATCTCATAGAACAGGTGTTCTATGAAAGATTGGGATATGCGGGCATTTGACTTCTAGAACAGGAATTCTGTATAGAAGGGTGGCGGATAGTTGGGTCTCATGGAATAGGTGTTCTATGAAGGATGGAGATGGACGCATTTGATATCATAGAACAGGAATTCTGTATATGAAGAGCGGGGGATAAGTTGAGTCTCATAGAACAGGTTTCTATGAAAAGATTGGGATATGTATTTGACTCTCATAGAACAGGAATTCTGTATAGAAGGGGTGGCGGATAGTTGGGTCTCATGGAACAGGTGTTCTGTGAAGGATGGAGATGTGACGCATTTGACATTCATAGAACAGGAATTTCTGTATATGAAGAGGGCGGGGATAAGTTGAGTCTCATAGAACAGGTGTTCTATGAAAGATTGGGATATGCGGCATTTGACTCTCATAGAACAGGAATTCTGTATAGAAGGGGTGGCGGATAGTTTGGTCTCATGGAACAGGTGTTCTATGAAGGATGGAGATGTGACGCATTTGACATTCATAGAACAGGAATTCTGTATATGAAGGGCGGGGATAAGTTGAGTCTCATAGAACAGGTCTTCTTCTGTATGAAAGATTGGGATATGTGACGGCATTTGACTCTCATAGAACAGGAATTCTGTATAGAACAGGGTATAGTGGCGGATAGTTGGGTCTCATGGAACAGGTGTTCTGTGAAGGATGGAGATGTGACGCATTTGACATTCATAGAACAGGAATTCTGTATATGAAGGGCGGGGGGATAAGTTGAGTCTCATAGAACAGGTGTTCTATGAAAGATTGGGATATGTGGCATTTGACTCTCATAGAACAGGAATTCTGTATAGAAGGGGTGGCGGATAGTTGGGTCTCATGGAACAGGTGTTCTATGAAGGATGGAGATGTGACGCATTTGACATTCATAGAACAGGAATTCTGTATATGAACGGCGGGGGATAAGTTGAGTCTCATAGAACAGGTGTTCTATGAAAGATTGGGATATGTGGCATTTGACTCTCATAGAACAGAATTCTGTATAGAAGGGGTGGCGGATAGTTGGGTCTCATGGAACAGGTGTTCTATGAAGGATGGAGATGTGACGCATTTGACATTCATAGAACAGGAATTCTGTATATGAAGGGCGGGGGATAAGTTGAGTCTCATAGAACAGGTGTTCTATGAAAGATTGGGATATGCGGCATTTGACTCTCAAAGAACAGGTATTCTGTATATGAGGGGCAACTCTTCTGACGTGCTATTTTCACTTGTGCTCCGACTGCATGAATTTAAGCTTGTTGCTAAGTTGGCATCTCGTTCACACCTGTTTACTGTCGAACAGTTAAATGTAACCGCCTCTTCAACAGCTTCTTCTTTCTCACTTCCCGACACTGTAACTCCCTTCCTATTACTTGCTACCCTGTTAACTATAATCTTTAAAAAAAAAAATTAAATTTAATGTCAATTGACATCTTCTGATGACTTTGATCCCTGTTCTTTCTTTTTATCCTCTCCTCACCCCCTCCATACCCAGTCTTTTCTCTTAATTTCACCTTCTGTAACCCTTTGCTTACTAGTGACATGAGACCCAGAAAACGAAGACGTGTAGGAATACCGAAAGAAGATTTTCATAACCTGTTAAAGAATCTAGAAACAAAGAAAATGATACTGAACTGCTACGAAATATCTAATCTCCTATATAACAGTGACTGTATTAAGACATAGGAAAATATCTTTAGAAACAAAGAAAACAGTGCTAAACTGCTATGTAATATGTAAACTCCTACATAGCGGTGAAGACTGGATAAATATTTTATGGCTTCCACAAACGAAGCAAAGTATTAAGACGGGAAAATGTCGTTAGAAACAAATAAAACAGTGGGGAACTGCTCCGTAATATCTAATTTCCTATATGGCAGTGAATGCTGGACAATCTCTTCATACTTTTCACAAACTAAGCAAAATATTAAGATATAGGAAAATGTAGTTAGAAAGAAAGAAAAGTGTGAACAGTGATTCTTCTTTGGACTTTATCAAGAATCTCTAAATATATACAGAAGATCCGAACCATATGTGGCAGCATTATTCTAATCATGGACGAATGGTAGACTTATAGATATGTAAGATAGTTTCTGGAGAGAAAAAAATTGTCTGGCACGATATCGTGAACCAACTTTCTTAGCAGGTGACCTAGCAATGGATTCCACTTTATGCGAGCCGAAAATGTTAGCGAGAGAAGGCTATCAAACAAAGAAAATTTAAATTTCTGGAAGCCATAGTATGGAAAGAGTGCTCAGATAATTTGATGCTCACCTAACATAAAGAAAGAAAGAGCATCCGAGGGAATCCACTAGTACCTTACGTAATTACATTAAGTGAATGGGTTCTAGAAAGAGGACTGTCAGGGAAGAGCTTTAAAAAATTGCTAACAGATACAAAAATATGAAGTTATTACAAGAGAATACCATGTGAACATGTGAACAATGAGGAAGTATTAAGAAAGTAGTAACGAAAACGACATTTCTATTTAGGTTGAGAGGCAGGGAAACATCTGGGACATGTAGTTTGGAAAAATGGCTTCGAGAAGTTGAGTTTCATAGAACAGGTGTTTTACGCCGGATGTGAAGTGGAGCATTTGACACTAATAAAACAGGAATTCTGCATAGGAGGGGTGGGGGATAAGTTGTGTCTTATAGAACAAGTGTTCTAAAAAGAATGGAGACGTGGAGGATTTGACACGCATAGAACAGGAATTCTATGTAGGAAGGGCGGGAAATAAGTTGAGTCTTATAGAACAGGTGTTCTATGGAGGATTGAGGTGTGGAGCATTTGGCACTCTTAGAACAGGAATTCTGTATAAGAGGGGCGGGAGATAAGTTGTGTCTCATAGAATAGGTGTTTTATGAAAGATCGAGAAGTGCGGCATCTGATACTCATAGAACAAGAATTCTGTATTGGATGGGCGGGAAATAACTTGTATCTTATAGAACAGGTGTTCTAAGAAGGATTGAGATGTCGAGCATTTAACACTCACAGGACAAGAATACTGTATTAGAGTTGCGAGGGATAGGTCGTGTCTCATAGAACAGGTGTTCTATGAGGAATGGAGATGTAGAGCATTTGACACTTATAGAACAGGAATTCTATATAGGAGGGGCGGGAAATCAATTGTGTCTCATAGAACAGGTGCTCTATGAAAGATGGAGATGTGCGGCATTTGACACTCATAGAACAGGAATTCTGTATAGAGGGACAGAGAAAGATTTGAGTCTCGTAGAGCAGAAGTTCTATCGAGGATGGAGATTAGGAACATTTGAAAATCATAGGGAAGAATTCTGTATATTGAACGGAGGAAATTTTAAGTCTCATGGAACAAGTGTTCTATACAAGGGAAGTTTATTTCTCATAGAAAAAGAGTTCTTCGCAGGATTACGATGAGGACATTTTTTATACAGTATAAGCACAAGGAAAAGATAGTGTTATAGGAGAATTTATCTCTCATATGACAAGAGTTCGATTCAGGAGAGCATGAGCGAAATTTGACTCTCAAAGAAGACATATTCTATGCAGGATTGGGATGAGGGAAACATCTGGTAACTTACTGGGCTTTTGGAACTGGATAGCCGAACAGAGAGTGGATAGTAAAGCAATATCGCTTAGAGGTAAAAATAATAATTTGTGACGAGCCATGAACACCGATATCCTAATGGAACTCGGTTCAAGAAAGAACTTTTCCGATTCACGGCCACTGACGCAGTTGGGGTTGTAATAGTCGTTGCCAACGAAGTAATGCGGAGACAACAACATAAAGTTAATGTTCCTTGCTCGACAAAGAAGGCAAAGTAACGGCAAATAAGCGCTGTTTTCAAGAAACGTATAATGTCGTTGCAGGAATTTATCCAAGACATCCGATTAAAATTCCCTAGATTCTTTCAATTCAAAATTATCCCGAGCCACGTCGTATAGCATTCTTACTATCGATTCCTCGAGGTAGAAAGACTCAACCTTAGTTATTGTCGCATCCAGTGAACTTGATTAAAATTCCATCTTTTGATCCGTCGCCCGCCCAACTTTACTAAACGTCTGTCGTGCACTGTGTCTAATTGATTCACTAATCAACTCCTAATTAAGTGAAGCTTTTGGTGAGCCACGCCCTCGTTTGGTGTCGTGTTTGAAGAGCGTGGATTGAGACACAAGTCCCATCTGGAGGACATGCAACAAATTTCAAATTTAAATGCCTTAGGTCTTCGAGCAATTATCTCATTAAGTCTTAATTGATGAGATGTGCAAAGAAGCACCACAAACAATGGGAAAACAAGGGAATTAATAATGGTCAGGAATGCCAAATCTGGGAAAATATTGGACAGATTTTAGGAAGAGGATCGGAAAATTCCACAAACACACGCACGCACACATACACACACACACACACACATGGTTGCGTACGCAGATAGATAGATAGATAGATAGATAGATAGATAGATAGATAGATATGGAAAGAATAAGATAGACAATGAAAAAACAGGAAAAAAAACAATGAAAAAAACAGAAAAAAACAATAAGATAGATAGATAGATAGAAAGGAATTGGAAAATATCTTTTTGAATTTGTAGGTTTGATGAATTTGATCGTAATTACGATTACAATGTAATAAATTATAACCATGGAATATTAGTGTTTGAGCTTTTTATAGTATATTCTTACTCTGTCCTGGACATTGAGTTCTACTTGGATTCTATCCTGTTGGAAGTTAATATATATATATATATATATATTAAAGACTTTTTTATGTTTAACGTTCTTTTTTATAGATACAAGTATTTAAGTAAATGCTCTGTTTATAATAAACAGTATTAAATAACATTTACTGGCCTGAATGTCCGAGAAATTTTCATAGAAAATATTCGTCCTTTGACAGGATTCGAACCTGCATGCCTATACGGAACCGTCATTTACGCTGACGTGCCTTACCGACCGGTCACAAAGGAGCGTTCGGTAGACAAGGTCGAATTTACTGCTTATAAACTTCAATCTTCCATGAATCTCGTACATTCATAACTGCTCTGGCGTATCAAATGTAAACAAATGACGTCATATATTAAGAAATGGACAAAGTCCGACAATTATTTATAGGATGCAGGTTCGAATCCTGTCAAAGGACGAATATTTTCTATGAAAATTTCTCGGACATTCAGGCCGGTAAATGTTATTTAATACTGTTTATTATAAACAGAGCATTTACTTAAATACTTCTATCTATAAAAAAGAACGTTAAACATAAAAATGTCTCTAATAAATAAATTGTCGGACTTTGTCCATTTCTTTATATATATATATATATATATATATATATATATATATATATGTATGTATCTATATACCAGGTGTATATAGCATAATTGTCCAAATCTTGTAACAGCATAATTGTCCATCCCACAAAATGATCTATATCCAAGAAACCACTAAACTAATCAAGTTTCTTTTTTCCAGGTTTTCAGATACGACGTTCATCCATCTTGACACCATTTGTCACAAAAGTCATTGAAAAATTCTTTGAGTTATTCAGCTAGAAAGAGAACAGTTTAAATCATTTTGTATCAGATCCACTATGTCTTCCTAACCGTTCAATGGTGAAAAGAAAAAGATCATTCAGGCTGTCAGCAATGGTACAAACATTCATACTCTAGCTTCCATCTTCAAGGACCATTCAAAAACCATGACGAGAACGATGAATTATCTTAAAAAGGAGAGAACAAACATATCTCCACCTCTAGTAATCCCCATAATATCTACAATTTCCTAAATAAATCATACTGTATTCCAAAATATAACACAAAAGAAACATATCCCCGCCCCTAGTAATTATGTCTACACAAACCTGTATGTGCACAAAAGTCGAGTATCATCTACCATGTATTCAATTGTGAAAGCAGAATGACATATCTTTATTACTTCAAAACTCCCCCCAAAATTACATTTCGTCATTAAATAACCCATAAAGAGTTGATATGCTATTAAAACAAAAAACAATGAAAAAAAAAAACATAAAATTACATACAAACATTTAGATTTCATTATTAAATAACCATAGAGGTTGATATGCCTCTAAACAAAATCAACCATCTAAACCAATCAAAATATTTAGATTTCGGCATTAAATAACCCATAGAGGTTGATATGCCGCTAAACAAAATCAACCAACCAAACCAATCAAAATATTTAGATTTCGGTATTAAATAACGCACAGAGATTGATATGCTGCTAAACAATATCAACCAACCAAACCTATCAAAATATTTAAATTTCGGCATTAAATAACCCATAGAGGTTGGTATGCCGTTAAACAATATCAACCAATCAAACCAATCAAAATATTTAGATTTCGGCATTAAATAACCCATAGAGGTTGATATGACGCTAAACAAAATCAACCAACCAAACCAATCAAAATATTTAGATTTCGGCATTAAATAACCCATAGAGGTTGATATGACGCTAAACAAAATCAACCAACCAAACCAATCAAAATATTTAGATTTCGGCATTAAATAACCCATAGAGGTTGATATGACGCTAAACAAAATCAACCAACCAAACCAATCAAAATATTTAGATTTCGGCATTAAATAACCCATAGAGGTTGATATGACGCTAAACAAAATCAACCAACCAAACCAATCAAAATATTTAGATTTCGGCATTAAATAACCCATAGAGGTTGATATGACGCTAAACAAAATCAACCAACCAAACCAATCAAAATATTTAGATTTCGGCATTAAATAACCCATAGAGGTTGATATGACGCTAAACAAAATCAATCAACCAAACCAATCAAAATATTTAGATTTCGGCATTAAATAACCCATACAGGTTGATATGACGCTAAACAAAATCAACCAACTAAGCCAATCAAAATATTTAGATTTCGGCATTAAATAACCCATAGAGATTGATATGCCGCTCAACAAAATCCACTAACCAACAAACTTGATTTTAGGACTTCGCTATTTTAGATGTCAGTTTTCTAAATCGGTTCATATTCAATCCTCCACGGAGATTTGATCGTCCTAAAGTAATGTTTCGTTCGTAGAAAATTTGAATTAGTTGTAAAATCTGGCGAAATCTTACGAACTGAACATTCATCGAATAATGAATTTCGAAATGAGCGTGGGCCCAGAAGCATTTAACATTGTACTGTGATCCTTTTCGAGAGGCAAAAATGCCCTGGGAAAACGGAAATCACGCAGATGTTGTTCTCGTCTCTTGGACGAGATCTCTTCAAAAGCGAGATTTCTTGAAAAAAATGTGCAAGCTACAAGAAAAACAAAAGCCTTATGCTGATGTGTTATGTGAAAATCTCTCGAATAATCGACCTTTTTAGATTATTGTCGGCAATAGAATTTTTTTTTTTTTTTTTTTGCCTTTGAAGGCTTTTCTCTTTCTGACTTTGATGACGTCAGATCTTCTTCCGGGTGAAAGTGATTGTGTTGCGAATAGATAGACACAAACTACAGGAAATAATGTCTGCTATTCAACATTTGTTTTTGAAGCAAAGCCGAGTTTTTAACCAGGTTTTTTTTATAGAATTTACGGTAACGGCTCAAGGCCAGTTTGGGATACGTTCCCGAATATATGAGATTTTGTTTTCGTGGTAAAATTTATTCTATGAAACATCGACTGCTATATAATGTTCATATGGTTCTTCAAAAAATTTATGTCCTGCCAGTTGAGGTCAAGAATAAGCCAACTACAGCTACATACACAGAGAAAAAACAACTTAACTGTTTTTCTTTTTTTTTTTTACAGTGACGATCACACTGTACAAGGCCCGGGAGCCATTCAAAGTAGAGTGTTACAGAGTAAGAGGCACAGTTTATGCGTATCAGTGGGAAAGATAACGGTTAACTCTGGACTTGAGCAGGTTAAGATTGTAGTGATCAGGTAAACATCCTCTTGGGAGTCGGTTCCACAGAGTAACAGTTCAAGGGGTGATGATGCTCAAGTGGAACTTGTTTCAAGTAGAATATGAATGGAATGAGAATGGTTTGCTACAATATCCTTGGTATGGCGACTCTTAGCAGTGAAGATCTGAACTGGTGGAACTAAGGAATGTAGTTCATCTGAACATTTGCCATGGAAATAGCGGTAGTGAAGAGAGAGGCTTAGCTGCCAAGGTCTGAACTGGTGGAACTAAGGAATGTAGTTCATCTGAACATTTGCCATGGAAATAGCGACAGAGCAGTGAGAGGCTTGCGATGTTTCGTCTGTGAGAAAGAAGAGGAAAATAATTTGTCACCCCAAGGACGCGGAGACGCTTTTGGACTCAATCGTGGCTGGAAAGTGAAGACTGCAGCTCCTTCTCAAATATGGCAGAAGCACTCAATTTGGGGTGAACTCATCGTCTTGTCCTCGATCCTGTAAAGATCGATGACAAGACGAGGAGTCAGGTACTTACTATAGCGGTACAGGGATCATTCTTCCATCAGTTTTACCGATGAATCGTACGTACGAGTTCCCCTTGAGGTCTGGGTTGAGTTCAAGGCCCAGTCGTCGCTCAAGACACGCGGTTTCTCTGAGAGAACATCTATTCATCGTGATTGGTGATAATAGTTCAGGAACCAATTGGCGTCTCATGAAAACAGGACCTATGTCCACCTATTTGACTATGAAATAAACTGGACCTATGCTTATCTTTTTAGGTGCTCGTGCAAGCCATTTTTTACTCTTATCAAAAGCAGAAGTATGCCTACCTTCTTTTTTTCTTAATTCTTACGCAAATCGAACTTATGTCTACCTCTTGGGCTTTCACACAAACAAGAACTATATTCATCTTCTTGAATCTCGTTTATGTTATAATCTTTTTAAGCAATAAGGCGGCTTCATGAATTTTCGCTTTTTAAAAACAAAACAAGAAAAAAAAATCATTGAAGAGTGACGGTATTTAAAAGAGCGGCGTCATAAGGAAAACCGTCCTTTTGTCTCAACATCTTATTCCGGTTACGTAACTTCCTGTATGGCGAAAATTCTTTTTCCGGGTGAAGTGGGGACAAATCCATACTTAATTCCGAAAGTGATAGTAGGTAGTAAAGGAATTTAAATATAGCAAAATACACATAGCAAGAAAAAAAGAATTGATTTAAATCCGGGTTGGTGGATTCTGTCTTTCTAGAAAATTTGAGCTAAGTCGAAACATCTTTTTTCTCTTGCCGCTTCTCGTGGATTTTACGCGTAGAAAATAATTTTGTAAGAAACAGAAAAAAAGATGACTTAAATTCAAGTACTCCCATGCATCAAATATAAAAACCGGCACAATTTAATCATTTCCGGCTGCACTGTGCTTATTTAGTACGGAATGCTTCTTTTTCTCCGTTGTCGAATTTTCATTATTCTTTTTTTTTTAATCATTACACCCCCCAAGCAAGGCGGGAATGCCACTAGTACTCAGAGGGTGACAGAGAATGAAATTGCGAGAAAAGAGTATAGAGTAGATTGATGAAGTGATAAAAGATGAACGGATAGCGATTGAGGTTGCATTTAAATTTTTGACGATTGTATTTATCAGGGAAGCAAGTAAACGGAAGGGAGTTTCACAGC